AAAAGTGTGTGTATATAGGCAGAAAGAGATGTAACTGCTTCCACCATGATCTAGTATTAAGTTGCTATGTAATGGCCAATGGTAATGGGTATTAATATTGGGCAATTAAAACAGTCATATAGTGTGTGAGGCGTGGCTCGAACACCTGACGAATAACGCTACTTGTACATGACGAACTTATATAATGATTTATATACATATGAAGTGTTAAAAAGAGAATATAGAAATGTTTTTTTTTTATTAATTTGGTTGAAGAAATTATAATCCAATCATATCTCACTACATCGTGTGTATACAAATCGTCATATAATTAATTCATTATGTACATATGTCACAATCGTTATTTAACATTTGTGTCCAAAAAATAAAAATAAAATGAAAGTATTGGATGGTCACTCTTGGGTGGACCCACGTAATGTTGATTAAGTAGGTCCCACAAATTATGTGATACAATTGGTGCACAATGAATCTATTTTGTCCATCACATGTGATGTAAGATATTGTTGGGAAAATCGAAGGAGAGAATTGTGTCATGTGGAAGGAGTGTCAATCATAATGTTAAGTAGAATGTACAGGTAGCATGATTGTATCATTAATCTTTATCTTTTCTTCTGCCGACCAGTCAGTGAGTTAGGAGAACTAACCGACAACTACTACTTCTTGTTTGCCCTATCTACTTTCTTTCTTCTTATAGGTTATAGGGTTTGGTGGCTAAAATTATAAGGGGGACGGTGAGTCAGCGGAATTGATAATCTAACTACTGCTACAATCGCATAGTGGTTGATGTACATACAGGGCTGATCACCTGCCCCCAGGGGACAGGTTTAAACATACCCAGCAATTTCACTTTTAAAAAATGGGGTCCACTTCAAAGAATTTTCTTCTCATCTTTGACTTATTAAAACAATTCCCTCATTTTTCTCTTTCATCGCACCCGAACCTTTTCAGTTTTCTCTCCCAACATCGGAACCTCCTCTGCTCCATCGTCCACGACTAAAGTGAGTTTCTTAAATTTCGTGCATTTTATTCTTGCTATAATCCCCAATTTCAATTTATCTATTTCCGTTTTTTTTTTCTATGGATAGGTGATTTCGGCATAATTCGCCCTAATGTATCCGTCATTATTTTCAAATAGAAAGTTGGGAATAATTAATATTATTTTGCGATTTTTCGACTGAGTGTGGTCTAGTTTCAGAAATGTGATTTAATACGTCAATTGGAAGTTTTAATTTTCTTTCATAATTTTTAGGTTTTGGACATGGATGTCTAGTAGTTAAACAAGGAGGGGAACACAGTCAACACACAGAGGTAGGGACTCACGCGTATTTTCATTTCTACATTATCTCATGGGTTAATTGTAGATTTCAGAAATGTGGTTTAATTTGTGGTTTTTTCTAATTATTGAACTACTCTTCTAAGTTGGAAAAGGATTTCCAAATGCCTCCATTGACCCACGTTGCTTTAATGGAGTAAATGGTATGATTTGCAATTCATTTTTTATAGGATGGTATTATATGCGGAAGGT